AAAAGTTTGGGTTTCGGCCAGACAAGATTCTAACCCAAGATGGCTACTTGGTTGAAGATTTGGCTGTCATAAGAGACGGTGACCATCTCATTCTCGCTAGTGATTCACATGCACCCAAAACACTCGAGTAAAATGCTAGCTTGTCAATAAATTGTGTACGTTTGAGTTGTGTTTCGTACAGATTAATGTTGTATTGGCAAGGGTCGTTTTATGTATGTAGTATGTGTGTGTTTCTTCGAATGTATTCAGTAGTGCTTCGTGCAAAAGTATCTGTTTATTTAGAACTCTTAGCAGCAAGTCTTCGATGTATGTTATTTCACGAATTGTTGCAAAATGCATAAGTATGCATAGGAGGCACGAAAAAAGGAAGAAAAGGAAAACGAGCATAATATTGATCGTTTATCTGCTACAGAAGATCAGAATCCACTCTTGATGCCTGAAACTTTTGCAGCCACCTTTCTCTCTCACACATCTTCACTCTCTCTCTCTCTCTCTCTCTCTCTCTCTCTCTCTCTCTCTCTCTACTCTGTTGCTTTGAAATGAAATAAGCAACGAATTAGCCGCGTGACAATATCTAAATTGAGTCGACAACAGTACACCCTATAGCACCATTGTCTCCCTTAAGCCTATCATCATTTCTTCTTTCTTGTGCCATTCTCTGTCCACGAGCCGTCTTGTTTGTACTTATACTTCGTCATAAACAAATAAGTAACTCTCCCGAGGAAACACTCGGACGAGATGCTCTCATTACATGTGTGTGTATATATATAAATATATTCCTATCATGCTCCGTTAGAACCTCCCGGGTTAACCTGGAAAAGCATGATCAATTAAATCATTTGGTTTTCCAACAATTAATTATAATACTTAAAAAAGAAATGTCGTCATTTTACATGTTAGATACCGGCCTGAGACTGAAGCTGCCTGTCGTTAAAGCTCACTGACCGATGCTTCAGTTCGCCCCTTCGGGTAACTATCTCGTCTAATATCTCCGCAGAGGATACATCCGGAGCACTCTCAGTATCATCCGTATCAGCTAATTCTCTATGCTGTTTATCCCAAGAAACAAAATAAAGCAAAAAATGGGGCAAGAACCAAGAAAAATTAGAAGAAAAAATTGGGAACATATTTCATGCATGCATCATCATCAAGAGCAAAAACCTCAAGGTGGCTTTAGTAGTGCCTCATGAGGGTGTTTGTAATCCTGGAAAAGGGATAATTTTTTTTAAAAAAAAAAACTACCCCAAATGCATTTACCTTGAAGGATAAACTCTTAGTCCTAACCGAGCACCCGATAATTTCTTCGTACTCGGCTGCATCGAGCTCCTGAAGGTGGTGAGGTGGGAATATCTTGGGAAGGAGATATTCTCTTATGCTTATCAGAAGGAAGAAAGGTAAGGGGAACAATATTCCAGCAATAGGTATCCACGTGATCCCAAAGCACAACAGAAAATACACAATCTGAAACAGCGTGAACATCATGATGTACTTGAACGGCACCGACTCGACAAACGAAGCATGGAAATCCTCGATAATTCTGCCAAGTAACAAAATTCCAAATCAGTCAACTATGGATCGAGAAGTCGTGCTATACACGGAATAAAACAAACCTCGAGTTCAGTCTAGTTGTACAGCACAACTTCTTTTCAAGATTACAATTAACCACTTGGCATTTGTTATTATTATGCAAATTGCACCAGTAAAGCAAGGATAATGCTTTCGTTAAGTAAACCCAAATATCATGCAGACAAATGTAATACTATTAAGGGAAGTCGTTTGCTCTATATACATTTTGTAAGATAACTGTGGTTTGTGGTAATTAGGCCAAATGCCAAGAGGTAAATTTTGAAGTACCCCTGAATTTTATATTATTAACACGATAAGCCCACTTAAATTTCAGAATTAAGGGAAAAGGGCTCTTTAGAAACGAATCCGCCAACTTTAAGTTATCCTAAAAAGGCATTTTGAAACCTTCGTATATTCATGAAAATTCAGCAGTTGCTCCATTTAATTCAAGATAGATTCGAACCTGCACGGACACCATGAAACTTCAAAAACTTTCATTTTATAATTATTTTTGCATGCTCCGGGAGTAGTCTTCATAAATATCATCACCAAAGAGATTTGGATACTCAAGATATCTCAGTTAACAACAAGCATACCTATTTATGTAGCTGTCGAACACCTAAGCAGACTTATATTCAATATTTTGACGCTTGAGATAGACAAAATTCTAGTTCCAGTTCCAATATCCCTAATACGATAAACTAAAAATAAAAGAATACTCCTAGAAAAGGTAAAAAGGCTCACTTGAAACGACGGCCCGGGGGAACAAATAGCAGCAGGATCCTCTCCCAGAACTGATTGCCCGGGAGGCTGTCTATGGCCATGTAGGCAAAGTAACCCCACAAAACCGAGGTTGGTATCATCTTTAGTACAGGCATGGCACAAACGGCCAGCCCCACCAACACAGATTGTAGCAAGTTGCTCACCCTCTGCTCGTTCACCCGTACAGGCAAGTGAAGGTCAATGCACATTTCGGGGTCAAAGCTTTCGTCTGTGTCCCCATCCTCGTGCTTCAGGACAGCCTGCTTCAGGTTCGCGAGCTCTTGCTCTGCCTCGTGCTATGGTGAAGGTAACAGAGAAAATTAACAATGTTTTTGTTAAAAAAAAAAAAAAAGTTTCTTGAAAAATGAGACGAGAATATTATTCTTACTGCTGGGGCGCCTTCCATCTCAATGAAAACCTCGTGCATACGCCCGTAGATTTCTGAGTGGCTTGCATGCTGTTTCATGCCCTCCTTTGCGCTCTTCACCATTTTTTTACGTATAAGCTGGCAGAGCAGAATAAATTGTTAAAAAACGATTTTTGTACTTGTACAGCTGCACACAGTAAGGGAGTTTTAGGCGAAGTGTAGGTAAGTGTTGGCGAATGTGCTTAAGAATAAAATTCAACTGAAAGCAGAACTAAAAATTCAAAGTATCCCTCTTTATATGACTTATGCAGCAGTATTAGAAGTATAATATGCAGAAAAACACCTCCCTACCTGCCTCTTAAGAACTGCAAGACTCCGAGTATGCATAGGAGACTGCGGGAGTACACCGTTAGAAGGAGGAAGTCCGAGTAACCCGCAAATCAAAGTCTGAAAAAAATATGTTAGAAGAGTAATAAAATCGTCGAGTACAATTTCATTGAGGACCTAATTGAGACATTTTTTAGAAGTGCTCATGATTTCTGTACCATGACTCCAAGCAAGAGGATATCATAATGGTAAGCTGACGGGTTTTTCAGATTGAACTCTTTCTGTTGCGCCAGCTGTGAAGCCACACTGTGGTCGAAAAAGTATAGGCCCGCAATCATCAATGCCGGTATGAAGGCAGCAAAAATGTACTCCACCGGTATTTTTCCCATGTCCTATAATTCACCATTATATAATTTATTAATCGAAGAACTCCAACTTATCATCTTCACTTGGCCAAAAAAGAAAAAAGAATAAGGAAGAAGCAATATAAATTATCAGTATTTTTCTCTTGGATTTACTAACATGAGACACCATCTACTTAGTTTTGCATGGATTTTTTTAAGTACCTTAATCACGCCCCAATGGTACAATGATTTAGGATCCCAAGGAAGCGGACAGAACAGCCTCCTAGGAACCCCAGCAGGGACATCACGGGGTACAACATAGGATAAAGATGTCCAAACCACAACCATAAGTGGGACCCCATAATCTGCAATTAGGCTTCGGAACATGCCTATTCGACATTTTGGCCAAGTTATCAGTTACAGAAAATGAAATTACGATGAAATTGGAATAAAGAATATTAGTCCAACACCAACCCGAGCCATAACGCCAGGATCTAGCTTTTCTGCTTTTTAGGGCAGTTATAAGCAGTCCGAATGAGAATATTACGGCGAGCAACCCATTAGTGTAAAGCCATTCGAACTGGTATTTCTCCTCTGAAGCATTTTCACCTTTTGGAATGCTGAATTCACTCACCACACCCTGTGATGATTAAAGTGATTGACGACGAAAACGAAAAAGAAAAAAATGATCAGATCAGCCTTCGTCCAAGCTGGGTACTCAACGACAACATAATAAAAATTGAGTTACGGATAAACCAAACTTTGAACAATGAAAATTGCTTCAACTACTCAAAAATGAAGAAAGATTATTATATGATAACATTGAAAGTAATGTGTTTTTAATTGTAATTTTTTAAGGTTGGGCTCGAATTTGTAGAAGTCAAATTTGGGAGAAAAAATAGGAGAGAATGAGAAAAAGCAATACCTTAATGGCCTCCTGAATAAAAAGTACAGAGATTAGCATGCCAAAAAGTTCACCAGCCACCCTCGTAAATCGAGTGATGATTGTACAAGCATTGAATATAGCCAGAAGTATCAAGAGCAAGGAAGTCCAGACACACACCCTGATTTTTCAGAGGGAAGTACAGATTATATAAAGTCACAATCATCTTATAACTCTACAAATCAGAAAATATCCGATTTAAGAAAGAAAAGAAAGAAGGCTAGTTTTACATACCACCCAGCCCAGGCTAGATACAGTTCTTTGCCTATGCTGTTTTTGGCAAAGTTGTACAAGTAGGTGTACATTATAATGGTAGGCTCTGCAACTCCTAGGATCAACAATGGCTGTCCGCCGAATATTGCATGGATGACCCCGCAGATAGCCGTTGAAGCAAGAGTCTCGGTTGTGCTCAAGCTTCCATCTGTACAAAGACATAACTTTACAGAAATATAAAGAAAGAAACTTGTGCTTTTAGCGGAAGTATAAAACTTGTTAGTGTATGCCAACACAGACTTAAAACTTTACCTGTGTCCCGACTCAACTGCTCTCCAAATGCAATTACCGGGAGAGCAGAAGCAAAGAAAATATATGCTGTTGGGGCCAAAATCCTGATATGGTGATATGGAAATAAATATCAAATTAAAACTTTAATAATAATAATAAGAAGAAGAAGAAGAATAAACAAAATAGCACCTTGCGCCCGAGCCACACGTATTGAGCCAGTCTTTCTTGTAGCATGCCAGCCTTCCTTTGAAATCCTCCTTAACTCCCTTGAATGGAGTCTTAAAGTTATCCATGGTGTTTGCTGCAAATCAAGAAAAATGAAAAGGGAAATGACATTTTCTGCATAATACTAATGCAACACCTAAACAGAATTCAAGAAAATGGAGATCGATCGACATACAATTTACTGTAACCTTCCAGGGTTAAATAAATACAGACAAAAAAAAAATGGATTGAACAAGAAAAAAGATCAAATATATCATGATACATGTATTGCATTGCAAACATTGTATGACATGAAAGAAATATGCAAGTACTATGATACTGCCTCACAACAACAATAGTGTAACAAAACGAGAAACATAGAAATTACGAGTCATGAGTCTCATTAAACATAGAATAATCACCAAGACACGATGAATTCCCTGCCGACGCTGACAACGATGCAATAAACTAATCATACATTTGAAGAGGGATAGAAAATGCTAGTTCGATGCATTTAAATTAACTAACAATCACATAAGATCATTGTGGAGATCAGAAAATAGAAAAACATGACATACTTTGGCAGATTTTTTTAATTGCTTTAAGAATATTCTCTGAAGACGACACACGTGTAGATCATCATTCATAGGGACCAAGTAAAGTTACAAATATGGATCACACATATAAATCATAAAACACCTAATCATACTTTTTCCCATCAAAATATACACTTTCCATTCTCATCAGCAAATCATGCCAATAGTTCTTTCAGAAAAAAATGAATAACATAAGGAAAAGGGAGCATCTATCTATGTAAATGGTAGTTTTCTTGTACTTGTACTAATGGCATAACAACTAAACTAAAAACCCACTAAAAAAAATGAAAATAAGACATCTTTCCATATGATAAGAGGAAGATTCTTCGGTCCCGTCATGGAACCATTCCGGGTTTGTAACTGTTAGATCAACTATGCACGACTGTTACATGATGATCTAACGGTTACAAATCCCGGCGGACTACCATTTCCCCATATATTTTGGTAAACATTCACAAACAAATTACAACTCCAAATGCCAAAAAAGACAGACATATACTAAAATACCAATAAAAAAAACACACATCGATCGTCACAAGCAAACGTAATCGGAAAAAAGGAAATGGAAGAGAAAAGGCATTGGTCCTACACATGAAGAACAGAAATCACGGCGGGCCAAAATCGGGACACGAGCAAAAAAGTCCACAAATGTGGGTCAAGATTTGAACTTTACCGTCACTAAGAGAAGAAAGAACAAGAATAAGAAGTCTGGTTCCTGAACCCGATCCCGTTTTCCGGCAGGCGAAACGCCGCCGGCGGAAAAAAAAAAAGGGAAAAAATGTCGGCACAGGTGAAAAGCGAAAACTTTCTACCTTCTTCAAATCTCAGTGATCTCAGTGAATGTGTTGTCTGCGCGAATGTGTTTATCTCCTCCTGATTTCTCTCCTTGCCAATGCCAACTATTGTGCAGTAGAGACTAGAGAGAGAAAAGTGGGAGAAAATTTTAAGAAAATAAGAATGTCTGGGCTTTTTGGGCTGTGTGATAAATATCATCAAACTATGTAAAACAGGGGAGGGCGACCGAAGTGGGTCCCACACTGTTAAGAAACTATAGGCTGTTTTGTAGGGGATACGCGTCTCGTTACGGTACCATCCCGTTGGGTGTTTTAACCGTTGGATTCATGTGTACGTAGTTGGACAAGATAGATGATCCAACGGTTAAAACACCCGACGGAATGGTATCATAATGAGCCACGTATAATTGGATAAGATAGATGATCCAATTGTTAAAACACCCGACAGAATGGTACTATAACAGGACCGTAACAAATATGTCCGGTCAATAATCTTCGTCATCGTTTTTGTGTGGTTACAGGCGATAATTTGACCTGTAATGATGTGAAATTATGGTAGCTGGTAATTTATAAACCATATACCGCGTTTACATGCGTGATGAACTATACAGTGCTTCTTATGTTCACAAGAGTCCAAGAATGAGTCATGCATGTAGACAACATGGAAAGAGAGTGACTTATGCATGAAGACAAAATTGAGTACAAATGTGCTGTGTGCAGCTCCATTTTTTGAATTTTGAATTGTTTGTTATTATTATTATTATTATTATTATTATTATTATTATTATTATTATATTATTATTATCATCATCATCTAATAGGTGTCTTAGAAAATAAATTACGATTTAATATTATTGTTTAATATTAATAAGAAATTTTGTCTTGTTGGACAAGTTAAGGTCTAGGGTTATGAACCTTATTTAAAGGGTTCTTCTGCTTTGTTATGAGATGGTTGATTTTGAATGAGAAAATGAATTAATTGTGAGTTTTACGTGTTTTACGAGAAAGTATTTCGTTTACTCGTTTATCCTTCTCATTCATACGCTTCCCTACATCAGTTGGTATCAGCAGTCAGTACGATTCGCGATGTCGCCGGGACGACAAGATGCGGCAAATGAACAACGTGATGCAATCTTCTACGATCAGTTTCAACATATTGACTATCGATTTGAAGAGTTGGACGTGCGTTTCACGGATTGGTTTGTCGATCTTTCGATGGGGATCGAGGATTTATGTTTGACGCTTAACAACGTGGTCTGGAATTTGCAGATGAGTCGTGCCGCCGGCGACCAGGGTGTGCGCGGGGGAGTTCGCGGAGGAAGTAGGGGTCGTGGTCCAGGCGGGGCGCCGCGTCGGCGATCTCCACAACCGTCGTCCGGCGATGCATACGACGAGAAGACCATCTCGGAGGTTGATCCCTTCAGAGGACACTCCGCCCGTCGATATTGAGCTCGTTGTTGCGCACGACGACCAAGATGTGCGGCAACAAGGTGTGGTTTTGAGGAAGATGACGGACTATTGTACGACGGTCTGCCTATTTTCGATGAGGAGCTACCGGTGACAGAGTTATATTCATGCGACAATATTGGTCCCGCATGGGACGTCGCAAAGGTTGAGCCTTCGAACGGGAAGCCATCGTTCAGACCTGATTTTCGGAGTATCTTGGACAAAGATGGTTTTTGGGAGTCGAAGCCGAGGGTCAATAATTGGTGAGCCATTTTCCGATTGTCTATCGCGAACTTTCCCAACAACGGGATGTTTGGCCGTAGTTATGGATTTGAGCACAGTGAACGATGTGGTATGTTTGGTGTTAATTCCACTGTGTGGATTATGCGTAGGGAGACGTGTACATGTACTTTTGCAGTTGTACAACACTTGCTCAAGCTTATGTTTCCTATCGGGCTTGGTGGACGACATTCATCCTTCGTGTTCGACAGGGGGGAACGACGGGTGTTTCCTACCATGAGTTCGACACCACATGCTGGCCACGGGAGCGCATCGGCTTCGAGGACGAAGCCTTCTGAATCGGAGGAGAATGGTGTAGATCAATATTTTTTATTATTATTATTATTATTATTATTATTATTATTATTATTATTATTATTATTATTATTATTATTATTATTATTATTATTATTATTATTATTATTATCTAATAGGTGTCTTAAGAATGAGTTAGGATTTAATATTATTGTTTAATATTAGTAAAAGATCTTGTCTTGTTGGACAAGTTAATGTCTAGGGTTAGGAGCCTTATTTAAAGGGTTCTTCTGCTTTGTTATGAGATGGTTGATTTTGAATGAAAAAATGAATTAATTGTGAGTTTTACGTGTTTTACGAGAGAGTGTCTCGTTTATCCTTCTCATTCATACGCTTCCCTACATCAGGAGGTCTATTTATTTCTTTTTTTCTTTTTTTTTTTCTTTTCTAAGGAGGATTAATAGTGTTCTTACTTCCCTTACCCGGTGACTCAAACTCATGACAGGGCTGAGCACGGGTCTTGGAGATTACCGAACCGTCTGAAAATCGAACATAAAAATATTCGTTGAACGTTTGACTATCTCCGAACCGAATCGTACCGATTTTTTTTGGTACGGTTGTGGAGATTCATAAAATATTCTGTATGATGTCAGTGGGATTATACGGGAATATTTGCCCCATGTGTAGAGGAACGTGACGTAAGAAGATTGGTGCAGATGATAGTTGCGACGGCTACCTCTGACACACGTACACTGCGTGTATACGGACGGACAGGTTTGGGCAGACAACTCATCAATTTCGGGCAGCCTTTAGGTCAGGTATCTCATCTCTATATATATAGGGGTGAATCTTTCTTGTTAAACGCGATCAATACATTTTTACCTTTGAGAATTGATTGAAACAAACAATAACTTAAGCTTTGGAGGCTCTTCATCGGAGAACCCCTCCGGTGTGAGAATTCTTTGTAGGTGCGTGGCGTTCAACCGGCGAGAAGAAAGGCGATTAATCGGATTCTAGCCGGTCAGAGAGTTTTACGTTACCAGATAAACTGTGAAATAGTTCTACGATAAGCTCTACAATAGACAAGCGAAGATATTTGAAAATTTCGATAATACTATGTGATAATTTATGCGATATACAGACAAAGATAATTGATAAAGTGTGAATCATATTATATCTTCATTTATATAACGTACTGATTGATTTACTACCTAAATTATTATATATTAATAAATTTGTTTATACTAACAATTGTTAAACATAAATATAACACATGCTTTAAACACTAATCTCGATTGATAAAAATCAATCAATCCGAATCATTTCAACACACTAATTGTGATATATACTACCAATTTAAATTTTAAAATAAAAATATATGCTATATTTTATTAAGGATACCGTATCAAATGAAAAAAAAAAGAGACGAGAGATACAATATCAAATGCAAAAAAAAAAAAGAAAAGGATATTGAATGTTGGCACGTTCTTGAAGAAATCAATGTTCAGTCACCGTCAGATGTATGTAGTTTCACGCGTTAAGAGCTTGAAGATTTTAATTTGTGGACATGACGATGTACCAAAACTCAAACAAAGGATATTGTGTACAAATAAGTGTTTAAAAATATACAAATAACATTTTTTTTATTCAAATAAATGTTTTATATTTAAACAATTATCTCATCATCCAAATCAAAATGCTTTCTTAAATATTACTAGTTCGAAGAATGTTGTGTATAAAGTGGTGTTTAATAATATATAAGTAATATTTTTTTTATTCCAATAAATACGTTTTATGTTTTGAACAATGACCAAATCATTTAAATCAAAATGTTTTCATAAATATTACTAGCCCATCGCACGGTACCCACTCGTTTGGTCCCATGTACCCTTACCATATAACAAGAAGGTACCAAGAAATGCCTTTTATTTTATAATGCACGAATCTATTACTATAAAATAGCAATAAGAAAATCCTAAAATATCATGAAGATTCACGCCAAAATTTTCTGTTTTTAATACTAATGAAATTGTTTTTTGAAATAATTTAGTTTCTCCCGCCCATAATTTTTTTGAAATATTTAGAATTTTTTAAAGTAATATAAATTATCTTTTTTAATAAATATGCGTTTCATCTCATCTTGATGTCCATATTTATCTCAATTCCATCAAGCTAATAAAAAAAAATTAAAAAAAAAGTTTTAAGAAGCAAGCCCGTCGTGCATCGTACAGGATACACACTAATTTATGTTATTAGACAAAAATATATTTTCATACGTTTTTTGCTTTCTCCCAATACACACACATTTAAGGACAAATATACACGAGTAATGCTACAAAGCTCATTAAATGACAACTTAGGTTACAACTCAAGTGTAAATATATTATTTTTTTTATTTTTTTTATAATTCATTTATACTCGAGTTGTAACCAAAATTATCATCCAAGTGTGCTAAATAGTATTACTCAATAAAATACATTAGCCCACCCAAAAAAAAAAAAAAAAAAAAAAAAAAAGCTGGACACATTTAACCTCCAAGTAAATTAGCTCTTACCCTGTGCCTTTGGCTCAATCTACCAAAACAATTTCCTCCTCATATGTTTTCTTTTTTCTTTTTTTTCCTTGACTTGATTACATTAAGTTTCATAATTAAAACAGATTCTAACACATCAAGAGAAGGGCATCACGAGTTCGACCGAGCAGATTCAGTGCCGTAGCAGCAATGTGATTTCCGGTTAGGCCGGCAAGAGCAAGCTGATCTTCTGGCATTGCACCCTCTATGTAGTTGTCAGGCAAAGTAATTGGGCGCCACTACAAACGAACATAACTCAATAAAACTAATCACATGTGTTTTTCATGTTCACAATCACATATGTAAAAAGTCTCACCTTAATTCCAGCATCAAGCAGCCCATCAAGAGAAATAAACTGGGCAACATGTGCTCCAAATCCTCCAATCGAGCCTTCCTCGACCGTGATAAGGAACTTGTGGTTCTTGCACAATATCCTCACTAAATTTATGTCTAGGGGCTTGCAAAAACGTGCATCGGCAACAGTAATATCAATGCCCATCTTTGCCAGAAGGGAATGTGCCCTTAGGCAATTTTGGACCATGGAACCAAAGCCCAAGAGGGCAATATCTTTTCCCTCCACAAGTATTCGCCCTTTACCGACCTGCTCAAGAGGTTTGCATCAGTTAACAGAAAAACAAACCGCATAGGTGAGCTCATAACTGCCAAATTTAGGTAGTACTTGCAAATTTAGAACGATAATTAGATCTTTTAGTAATTAGCTAAACACCATGGTCCTATATCTAATTTACCCTTAATTTTACATTTGCAACATTGAAACACTTCCACCAAAAAAGGAACACAAAATGAACATTTTCCAACCTTTGATGAACTTGTAGTTGTAGAAAACAATTGTTCTTCATATATAGGAATTCTCGATCGTCATAATAATGTTACCTCAATTGTTTCCACAACATACGAGTCAGGTTCGGACATAGCAACTGCGCCTCTTGGGTACCTGAAGCAAACGGGTCTGTTGTGAATGTGTACGGCAGTCTTCACCATACGAACGAGCTCGATCTCATCAGAAGGTGCCATCACGATCATGTTTGGAAGACACGACATGAATGTAATATCAAAGGGCCCAGAATGAGTTGCGCCATCCGACCCCACCAATCCTGCACCCGTGATCACGAAACGTACGGGAATCTTTTGCCGGTCCACGTCATGAATCACCTTAAGAGCGAGAATACAAATTACTCGACCAGATATATAATCAAGCAAATGATTTACTTAAAAAGAGATACAAATATGTTTAAACTAAATATATAATATAAATTTGAAAAAACAAAATCTGAATCAAGACTATAATTAGAGAGAATTTAAAAAAAAAAAAAATGATTTACTTAAAAAGAAATAAACTGTGAAAGAGGATGTGAGAGTACGAGTGGGAGAATGAGACGTAGTATAAGATGAAACCTGATCGTATGCTCTCTGGAGAAATGCAGAGGGAATTATACAAAAGGGCTTCAATCCTCCCCGCGAAAGACCAGCCGAGAATGTCACTGCATGCTGCTCAGCCATGCCAACGTGAAAAAACTTGTCTTGCAACTTATCTCTTAGCAGTAGAAATGACGGCTCCATTCCCATTCCTGCATGAACCACCACAATATCTTCATCTTTTTTGGACTCTGTAATCAAAGCCTCTACCAAGCGGTCACTATATGTCTGAGGCCGAGTATTGTCCTGCAACGACTCAATGCCTTCGGAAGAACCACCGGCTTTAGCAAACCCCCCTTACCAGAAGAAAGAAAATAAGAATTAATATAAAGTTTTAAATAACAAACGAGCACCATAATATCTACAGTGTAAGTCTGTAGTTGATGTGGGTAATTTACCAACAGAAATATTTGTCATTAAATCTTTAATTATATATATTTTTTGGTAATGTAGGTTTCTAATTCTCTGTCATGGTGATTCACAGTGTCAGACACTTTCAGAATCAAGAACCCAACAACAAGGTTTTTAATAGAGGAAGTTTATTCTCTAAAAAAAATAAACGAACTATCTCATGCATGAAAGTTACAAATACAACAAACAGTGGATTTGTACAGAAAAAAAGAGACCTTCATGATGTTCCTCAGAGCTTGTACTTGTTTGTCTATCTTCTACTTTGCAATCTTCTTTTGTTATGACGTGGACAAGAACAGGACCCGTGGACTTCAGTGATGCAACTTCACGCAAAACACATACAAGGTCCTCAATGTTGTGGCCATCTACTGGGCCAATATAGTACAACCCGAGCTCCTCAAATAGAGTCGACCCAGTAGGGCCCACCATACCACGTGCATACTCATCCACTTTTGCAGCCCACTCGTGCATCCCATGGCCGATTTTCTTCGTAAGAAACTGACATACACAACATTTGAGTACGAAAATAATGGAAAAGGAAAGGGAGAAAAAGAAACATCTTTTCTCACTCATGTACACAAAAATCTTCAAGAAGTCCTTACATTGAGAAACTAGAAAAAATTTATTGAATTACATGATTGGCAAAAGTAATTCAAGTTATGCCTTCTATGATTCTGCTGAGAGATTCTCCACTTGAGTACTAAAACGGAATAACAAACTTAAATTAGAGCGAACAAAAATAATTTAATAAACAGTGGCTAAAGGGGAAAAAAGGGTTAGATTTCTCATTAATAAATCATTTTCTTTTCTTCTAATCTCCTTATAGTGAATCCTATGCATTTTCAGCTGCATACAAGAACAAGGGTTAGCATATGGTACCTACCTTAAGAGCTCAATAGGGTTTTATAACTCAATTTTTTTTCATCAACTTTTAAAAAAAACATTATCACAAGGAGTAGTCTTTATGATATACGGAACCATATCCTGAACCTATGATATCGTCACTTACAAAAGGTGCGATAAGAATGAGTCAGTACCTTAGCAAATTCTCTAAACGTCCAGAAAAATTTACTTGACTGAAGCTTGCTCAGAGTAGTTGACAAAGCATTGATTGATGCCTTGGGGACTTGCTCAAACTTTGGATCTAAAGAGTGATGACTATCATTCAATATCACAATCATATTCGAATCCAAGTGACCTGCATTGCTCATGGCCTCATAAACTTGGCCAGCCGTGGTTGTCTCGTTGCTGATAACTGCAACTACACGTTCTTGTTTTCCTTTGATATCCCGTGCAACTGCCATTCCTGGATGGAAAAAGGTAAAGAAAAGTATCAGAATTGTATAATCAGAAAATTACAAAAAATAAAAATATAATAACAATAACAATAACAATAATAATAATAATAATAATTGATGGTTCATAAGATGGGAACAAGTAGGCAAATCGATTTCATGATACCAAGTCCAGAAGATATGCTGCTACATCCATGTCCTGCGCCAAGTGGATCGTATGCACTAGATGAATAGCTTGACTGATCACCTGGTGTTCTATCTCTATAAATTAGAGGCCTTCTTCCAGTTAGAAGTTTATGTGGATATGTCTGTTTATATCAATGGAAGGACAAAAACAATATAAGAAAATGAAGGCCAAACCTATGCCATGATAGGAAAAATGAATCCATATCTGTTCAACATGTCAAGGATCGTTGGATAAAGAAATCTTACTTGATCCTCCATATCCCAAAGAATTTTGTCAAGGGGGCAACTAAAAACATGATGAATAGCAACCGTTAGTTCGACGACTGATAGACTGGCTCTAACTGATTTTTGTGTTTTTGATGATATAAACAACAATTCTGACTGAATGTCATCAGCTAACTGTCTTAATTCCTGCAAGATAACACCTTACGTTAGCCACATCTGGCAAAAGTAAACTTCAACTTATGAGTAAGAAATGAATTCGATCCAGAAAGTTGTCAAACCTTTGAGGATAGGTGTTTTAAATTCAGGGGATTTTCAATCATATCGAGCATAGGTGTGGGCATCTTCTCGCTCATGGAACCATCATCGCTCAATAAACAATTTACTCTACCACCATATTCCTACATCGATATATGTCACGGTGCACAAATATAAATATTTTGCATCTATACATACATACATATATATATGAGGAAAAGGGATAAAAAAAAGAGTCTACAGAAGCAATGCAGCAATAACAGAAACTCCTCAAACTATAAGTTGAGAACAAAAGTCTGAAACAGCTAAAGAAAGAAACGATCAGAAAAATTGCACCTAATAAACAGCTAGTACGTAGACATCCGAACGGTAGAACTAATGGGGTCAAAATCCATGTGATCGACAATAAGCGGAATATCTCGGCAAATCAAGAATCGCACATCCTACATGCCACAGTCGAATATTCTTAAAGAATAACCAGAGAATGTGCAGACATGTGAGCGTACGACATGTAATCTTTTTAGTTGCACAAGAAGCAAACTGCAATGAAAATTACACAAAACCACATCATTTCTCTTCAAAAAAAATGACAGAAAAACATCATTAAGCAAACAAACCAAATTATATGATTTAAGCCAATAACTTAGGTGCAATATTCAATTTACTCAGAGCAACAGATTATACATGTATAGTATAGCATATTTAATCCTCTGGAAAAACATTGTCACATGATATACTGTCCTTGTTGGAACTCAACAATCAGTACAACTCACTTCAATCAGGTACCACATTCTAAATCAACATATGCGAAACAATCGCTGTCCTAAAATAAATCCTCATCAATATCTAAGGAGAGTATCAATAGTCCATAGCCCGTATCAACTACTTGCACAAGCAAACATACATGCTGAACGGAAAAAAAAAAAAAAAAAAAAAAAAAAAAAAAAAAAAAAAAAAAAAA